ATTATCTGTTCTAAGAAACATCAAGGTTTCCACAAAAACTTCCCAAACTTTTGAACGGTACGGTAATTTTTGCATAATATTTAAATGATTTATACTTATTTTACACTCTGCTTAGAATATTATACGTTTACATTTGTATAGCAAAAGTAATATTGTAATGGATTTTCATACACTGAAAAAAGTTTTGAGTTTGAGTCTGCAAGTAGTCTGGTAAGTAACAAAAATAAAGGCATATTAAAAAGTTTCCGAGACCATTTTAATGTGACTTTCATACAACCAAAAGAAAAAAGTTTACCCATGGGACTTAAGTGCTCTTAAAATCTATTGCTTTGTTCCTTCAGAACTTGCTTATGCTGTGAACATGCTGTTCTAAAGCAGCTTTGTTCAGGCAGTAATCTCCTGAAGTTCATAAGGCAGGTTATTAGGATCTCACAGAGGTGTTGTGGTGCATGGGGAGTGTGTGTGTGTGTGTGTGTGTGTGTGTGTGTGTGTGTGTGTGTGTGAGTGAGTGAGTGAGTGAGTGAGAGAGAGAGAGAGAGAGAGAGAGATTGATGTGAATGTGCAGCAGATCGCTGGTTCATCAGGTGAAAAACAAAAGGGAGTCTTACAGCAGGCGGAGAGAACGCAAGCCATCAAATGCATGAACCGGGACACAGCGAATCTGATTATAGCTCAGGATACTGCAGAGAAAGAGAGAGCGAATATGAGTGAGACACACAGACAAAGAAACAGTAATTTAATGTCAACATTTCTGCCAAATCTTTTGGCAGTAGTAATCACATTCACATGACTGCACTGACAAACACATATGTGGACACAGAAACTGTGTTTGATTGTTGGATTACGGTGTTACTTACAGGGTGGCGAGCTGCGTCATGTTGTTGAAGGTGAGAGGGGCAAGAAGACTGATGCTGTTATTACTGAGGTCTCTGCAGAGGAAACACACACAAACACAAAGCAGATTCAATTACACACACCCTCAGAACAACGTCTACAACATGCCTTCAGAATCCAAAGCCGGCTTACTCTTAGAAAAGAGATTTAATCGCAGTTCCTTTCATCCTGGTTAGGTAAAGGTTATTAACTAATGACTTCAAACATGCATAAAAACTAAACCATATACTGCAAAAAATATCCTGCTTAATTTATGCAAAAAAAAAGGCAGTTGTGGTTGCCAGAAACTCACTCAGTTATAATATTTGAGGGATTATGGGATGGCATGTTGGTGACTGTACATTTTACAACTTATTTTATTTCCTTAAGTGGTTGAATGTTATACCAAGATACATAAAAAGCACCAAAATTCGCTTTGTACCTTAAAGAATGTGCAGATAATTACCATCTAAGTACACATGCCACAATATAGTCACACGATGAATCAGACTTCATCATAAGTAACTTGTCCATACAATATGGCCAATTTTTATATATAAATGGTGCATATGGTCATACAAACAAAGAGAAAAGCAGCATCAGGGTAACAAGGCACTAACAAAATGCAACAAACGAACTAAAAGCATAAAATAAAATAAAAACACACCCTCATTGCTGATAAGAAAAATGAGAAGAAACCAAATGACTTAAATAAAATATAATACTGAATGTGATATTTTTCATGTTTTCACTGTAAATTATACATTAATTCATAGCTTTTACTTGCAAAAATCATTAATTTGACAGTATTTTACAGTAAAATTACATAAAAAGCATTGTTTACAATTTTCACCATGCATGCTAAAGTAACTTAAACAATTAACAGGTTTTTACTGTCACATTTTTATTGTCTTTTATTTTTTTTGTAAGCATTACAAACTTTTTTTGTGTGTATACAGGTGCTTCATATTTCCAAAAATTGTTAAATTCCTGCAGCTTCAGAAATAAAAATAATGCTGTTTGCTTAAAGGGGTGGTTCACTGTTTTTTTTTCTAGACTTGACTGTGTTTATGGGGTGCAGTCTAACATGTGTTAATGCTTCGTTTAAAAAAAAACTTCTCATATAAACACGCTGATCATTTCCTTCTTTTTACCAGTCGTTTTTGTAGGCATTAAACTGCCAGAATTTCAAAAGACGATATCTCTGTTTGCATTGAACTTTCAGCTTCGTAACTTTGCAGATATTGTTTATGCTCAAACAGCAACATTACACACTAACTAACGTTAAAAAAGTGAAATCGCAATCAACCACCCCTTTAAAACAAACATACAAATGAATGCATTTAATGCACAAATAGGTCCCTTAAAGGTAAAAGTGTGTGCCAAATGAATAAATTCAAATGAAAAGTGGAGAAATACATACAGCAGTGTCAGTTGTTTCAGATTAGCAAGCTCTTTGGGCACGGAGGTGAGGAGGTTTCCTTCCAAATATCTGAAACGGTAAGAAAAACGGTACGTTTACAATCCTCAAACAAGCTACAAAGTAAAACCAGATTCATTTTAAATTTCGTTTCATGCTTAAAAATCTATTTTACATCGGAAGAAATAGTCTTATTACCACAAAGTGGCTCTAGATGTAGAGAAGTTACAGTGAGCTGCCTTACTGTCTATGCTAGGTTTCAGAAAAGAACCACAGAACGGTCATGAAGTGTGGCTGCTGGGATTGCTTATCTACAAAATGTACTCTTGGGTAAGTTTCATCCTAATTTTGCCACTCTGTGACGTGCTAAAAGGCCGTTCTCAGCAGAACATCAGCAGACCCGGCCACAGCAAGATGACAGGACACAGATAGATGAGGCTTTGACAGGGAACTCATGGTCTGCTCTCAAAGCGATTTGATAATAGGGTCTTTCAGTGAGCAAGAGTATTGTCTTCAAAACTACGACACAGGAGAAGAGGTCAATCCTGCTGGAGTTTTCCTGCACAACCCAAGAACAATTACTGTCCTTCTGCTGAAAAACCGACAGCGACAAGGCAGGATATTTCTGTTCACCACCCTCGCTAATATAACCACTTGTTATATCAGTCTCTCCTTGTCACTTGTTTGCAATCTTGTGATTTCTTTCCTTCTCTTAGTCACTGTCGTCTTGTTCTATTGCTTCCCTGTCTCTCCATCTATCCCCTTTCTCTAAGTATGAGTGGCTCTTGTCGAGTTTAAATGGCCTGTGTGTCAGCAGTTCTACGAAGGCACTGTGGTCACTCTTCATCTGATTAGTCCATTAGATTATGACCGATACCTTAACAGAGCAACAACTCACTGACCCTCATACAGTCAGAGCGACCCATCTCAGAATCAATCCCCATCACTGGGGCATGACCCTAAGATACAAAAGCTAAAAGATACCTTCTTTACCCCTAAATGCTGCATGTGATGTAAAGCATGTAAAGATACATATTAGTAACTAAAGTTTATATATTAGTAACTTTTGTCCCCTTTATCCTGAGAGTGTACTGGTCATCATGTGACATGGGCATAGTTGTTCTCTGAACATTTCAGAAACTGTATTTCTTATTTCCTAAGGGTATTGCAACATACCAAATAAGTATTGATGATAACCTTGATATTTTAAAAATGAAATACTGATATCATGTTGATACTGCACATATGATAATATTGATAGGTAGATGGGTGGATGGATGGATGGATGGGTGGATGGATGGATGGATGGATGGATAGATGGATGGATAGATGGATAGGTGGATGAATGTATGGATGGGTGGGTGGATGGATGGATGGATGGATGGATGGATGGATGGATGGATGGATGGATGGATGGATGGATGGATGGATGGATGGATGGATAGATAGATAGATGGATGGATCGGTGGG